GAATTTTCCATTCGTCGAACCTAGAATTATTCCTAAGCAGAAGCGAGCAAGATATCTTGTTTTTTTATTCGACTTCTGTTATAAATTAGCTTAAATCATAATGCTAAAATTGCCTGGACAATCTTTATGGGCATTCCGCGTTAATGATTTTAGTGAGATGCTTCCATACATGTTAGAAGTAGCTATGCCAAGTCCTTTGGGCCCATCATAATAACACATATTAATATCGAATCCCAAAAATTTTTTCATAATTCGTCCTCTGTGTTAAGCTGAAGCACTCGGAAGTAGCCTGTATCGCGGAAGTCCCACAAAAAGCCGGCAAAAATTTTATGTATGCTGCATCAGAGAATCCAAAATACTATGCGGGGGAACGGTGGTGTAGTGGGTAACACGTCGAGTCCCACATGTGAAGAGGAGTGGTTCGATTCTGCATCGATCCATAATCTTTTTTGAATCAGGTCTTCGCTCATGACAGCTTGTACAGCTTGGCTTGTGCCAATACCAACCACACACTGGTGGATCTGCTGATGGTTTCGGTTTTCCAGGGTCTTCTTACAGGCAGACAAAACTCACTCCTCTAATATGGAATAATATTAGTTGCCGTTGAAACTTATGAATGAATCGTAGAGGACTAGACTTTCACATTGAGGAATTGCTACGCCCCATTTTTAACTTGAACTTAACGTCTCAAGCTTCTATAATGTTCATTTTTAATATCAATTGGTATACTAATTTTGGTTAACCTATATTATAATACACTGTTTATCAATTTGCAGACAGCGGTAGCCGGTTCGATCGATCTACGTACCTATGTTAGTTTATTCACTTCGGCCGATGGCAGGATATATTTATCGCTACCTGATCTCGGTGTGGAAAAAACATGGCTATTAAAGGATCTTTTGAGGGCTGGCGAACGTCTTTCTGGTTTATAATTTCTCAATTTTTTGCAACAATAAAAATAAAGTGCAATGCTTATCTTCCTCCCTGAGATATTTCAGCACACTGGATAAAGGCTTTTTCTGTAAAATTTGTGAAAAATGCGGTAAGATCCGGAAAAAAATGTGAGATCCAAAAATCCGAAAATACAGGGAATTTCTAAAAAAATAAAGGATTCCTAGAAATTACATGAACTCATAGCTAACTTTTCGGTGAACGCGCATCACAAAGAAATTCATTACATAGTTCATTTATTAATAAATAGCCCTTTAAGGCTTCTCTAGAACAGCTTCCCCCGTGTAATAGAAGGTTTTCTGAGAATTCAGTTCTCCGTTTCCCAGTTTTCACTTAATTTATAATTCAAAAATACTGATTGCTACTGCATCGCTTTCGCAATATTCTATCTAGGAATCTAAAGTATAAAAGATGAATCATGTTAAACAGAGATTTCTGGTATGATAGCGCGAGAAACAACAAAAATTCGCGAAAACCTTCTATGGCCACACTTTCTTGAGCGTATTTTTTTGCAGAATGTACAGTTGAGGATGGATCGCCGCCATCTCTCGAATTACTTGTGCCTATTGCGCGAAAATTAAGTGGTTCGTGCGAGGATCAATGCGGTGTGCAACATCTTGCAATACTGGCCTTCTGGTACCTCCTGCTTGGCGTCGTACAACGCAAAAGGTTAGCGCTTCAATCAGCGGTTTTTCTG